CCCCAAAACCCCAAAACCCCAAAACCCCAAAGGAATGAAATTATATAATTAAAGTTGCTTTATAGTTAAATTAAGAAATAAATATACTACAGGCAAGGAGAATTGATGATGATGCTATCTATCTATTTAATTTTTCTTTACAATGCAAATATCCTTGCTTCAACTGCTAGTTTGAGTAGAGACTTTTTGATGTAAATTTGGTTGCAAGGGATATCCAGTTAATGAAGGTCTCTGAGAAAATTTACTTACTTTAACATCTTTTTTTATAAAGCTAATCCTCTCTAGATAGTTATAATAAATTTTTTTGTCTTTTCTAGTGTATTCTCCAGCATGACCACATTTTAGTCTAATTAGATCGCCTATGTATTTATATCTCTAATCAAGAACATCACAGCCGTCCACAGGCACAGAACGGTCTTGGTTTATAAGTCTATCCTAGAGCGCTTTAATAAACTGATTACTAATGAAATCCACTACGCTTTGTAGGGATTAAGGAATTTCAAAAATTGAATTTTCACTCATTTTTATTCTTCTCTAAGAATCTAGCTCTGTTCTATTAGATATCACCTATTTTAATTTCCAATTTTTTAGAGTAAATAAAACTTAGGATAACACAGAGTTCAGCTCGTAAAAACCATTGATTGGGTTTTGAATAGATTGAGAAGAATGCTGAATTCCCCAGAACTATAGATTTAACAAGAAAGTTTTTAAATTTTCCTAATGTTTACTATTCTTTTTTTAATTATTGATCATAGTTTTTAAGGATATTCCACATGTTCTGGTTTTTCTCATAAAAAAATCTAAATTTTTTGCCAATTTCCTTAGGGAGGTCAAGTCAGTTGATTTTAGTAAATAAGTAGACCTAATTCCAATTAGCTTCTTTAACTTAAGGTGATTTTCTTCGACCATATATTTCTTTGCTTTTTTAACTTTGCATCTAATTGATTTCTAAGTTTCAAAATTGGTTTGATTATTGTTACCATCATTTTCCAAAAGCTAGTTGAAAGATCTATCTTGATTGAAATTAGTGTTATTTATAGCAGTAGAAAATCTTTAGTCTTCATTATCATCTTTAACTGATATACCCTCCATTATCTTTACAAATTTCGCAATAAATACTAGATTCATAACTGTCTTTTTATAATCAATATCAATTAACTCCTGCATTACAGAATCACATATATCTTCCTTCACTACAATTTATTTAGCCTAGATACTGGGCTTAATTTCGTCAAGATTCTATGATTTAAATAACTTATTGGTAAAAGTATATTTAACGTATTCATTCACCATATAGTAAAAAATTTATCCATCCTTAGTAATGAGTTAATCGTTTGGATCATAGGAGACAACTTTATGCTTAACTCTTAGCTTTTTGTAATAATGGATTGTGTTCAGTCTCCATTCAATAATGCAAGAAAAAAGCTTCGAACTGAGCCATCCATACTTATTCTTTATCATCAATTAGAAATCTGAGAATGTTCTATCTGCATTTATAAAAGCCACTTCATCTGGCTTTAGCTTGCTAGCTAATCTAATCGCAAAGTATCCACCCATTGATATACCGTGAAATCCAATAGGCTAATTTACTCCAAACTTTTATCTAAACAATCTATAAACATCATATGAGTCTCTTTCAATAGCATTAATATCAGGCTTACCTTAGCTCCTAAGGCAGCCTCTATAGTTGAACATTAGGACATTAACTCCCCTTTTTTAATATATATTAACAATGTCGTGCTGTAAACTTTGATACTCATAAAAACTACCATTGGGGTTGAATAGCATAACTACAGGTTGGGATTCTTGATGAGGGGAGCTCTCTACAGATTTTATGTATCCTGATCTAATTTAAGCTTTAGTTGTATCAGTTTCATCTTTGAATTACTCACTTTATCTTTTGTTAATGAAAAATTCAGGAAGAGCGCACTCTTCATCTATAGGTGGATAAGCTTTATTTACCCTATAGTACATGCAATTTATAATGATGCCATCAAAGCTTTTAACATTAAATTCTTCACCATTAAGAGACTATTAGCAATAGTATCTCATTTAATCTATAGATCCCATTTTTAAACTAAATTCACCTACTACTTTCTTTTTTAAGCATAGGCAGTTTTTCTTTTATGCCTATAGAATAATACTTAAAAATTATTCTATGTTTTCCTACACTTATACTATCTCTTTTGGATCATATTCAATTTCATAGAATTATTTTGCAATAATGTTTGTCATTGAATATTTATACAGAGGCTTTGATGAATCAACTTTAAATCTGATTAAACAAAATCTTATCTTCAGCATCAGATCTAGCAAGTTATTCAAGGGTTGCTCATTTTATTTAGATCTCTGCTTTGATTCCTGATCTGCAAAAACTTTGAGATATTTTTTCATTTTCTTGAATAAACTTATCTCTAGGAATGATTAATTGTAAAATTATTACAAATCATAATATTTCTTAGATCACTGTTGCTGAGAATCATGAACATTTAGTTCTCTTTGGATTGCTCCTCAAAAAATCGTAAAATAGACTAAAGAATTTCTTAAAAACTTCAGAGAAAACTCCTAACGCACGTGATTATTATAAAAGGAAAATAATGCTAGCTTACTTCATTGCTAATTTCTCAGTTTGCCTAATGTGAGTCTTAGAACTGGCGAGAAACATTTAAGTCTTGATAATCATATTTCCAAAAATTAATGAAGTTATGATAATGAACTAAAATTCAAAAGGATAAATAGATTTAAAAAAGAATGAGGAAGAGCTTACAAATGGCATATAAATTACTGCAATTTAGTATGATTCAATTGAGAGGTGTTTCTAATATCCTAAAAGAATACTAAATGATAAGATCAAAGTGATCAGAATTAGTGATATTCTAAAGAAAATTATTTAATCTGATGTATGATATTTACATGATGGTCCTTCTTCTGCTTTTTTAAATTCTTTACTATGCTGTACGCTCTTCCATTTATTATTATAAAAATCACGAAATTCAATTAATCCTTTTCAACTCTATCATATCAAATTACAGCAAGCGGGGTTTTGGGGTTTTGGGG